AATACTCTAAAAGTTCACTACATTTTCTACGACATCATAATCTTCCACTAAGAGAGTTATAGTTATGATAATGCCATAGGAGATATGAAATATCAATGAACCGCTTCTATGTAGTATGAAGAAAATACTACTACTCAAATCTGCTCCTTTGAGAAATAGCTATAGAGATTCTATCAGATTTCTTAAGAATTTGTCATGTGTTTTTTTTTTTTTTTACACAGTTTATGCTATGTCATAAACACAGGAATTTTTGCCCCTATTTCTAAATATTTCTTTTAAGCTACTATCCACATTGAAACCAGGGAATAACGATAAATGCATCCATTATATATATATATCCCTGTTTGTCAATGTTTTTTAAAAAGGAAAAACTAGAAAAATGTGCATTCCATTTTAATCTCTGGTATTTAGTTATAAGAAACTGGTTGATAGAATCTGAAAAGCAAATCTGCCTCTGAAGTGCTTAGGACTAATTTGATATGAAGCTGTTTATATATAACCTATACTGTTCACATGGTGTATTTTGAGTGCATGTATATTTAAATTTTGAATTGCCTCTATTGATGAAATGCAAGCAAAATCCTCAGAACTGTTTCTTGAAATACAAAGCAATGGAAAAATATTGCTTTAGTTTTTAAAGAATTGCAATTTAATTTAAAGAATACATTTCTATTAAGGCATTTTTCCTTGATTCTGTATTGTTCACTTGATTATTTTATCTAGTCATTCTCTTATTTATGTTTTTATTTTGGCAGAGTTACTGGTGTTGAGTGGCACAGATCCTGTGGCTGAAGTAGCCATTCAACAGCTCAGTGAATCTGCAAAGCAAAAGTTCAAATCTCCCAGAAAAAAAAGCACCATCATAATATCAGGGATTTCAAAGGTACAAAATAATCATAATTTTTTTTGTTTAATGAATTTAAGATCAGTTTTTTCCTACTAAAACATCTTTAAAAAACTCCCCGCTGCACTTATATGCTATTTTGCAGTTTAATTTCTAGACTAAGGCATGGTTTCCCAGAGAAGAAAAGACATTTCTTATGAATACTGCAAGCATCAGAAATATTAAGTTTTTCATGTCATGCAGTAAAAACAATAATTTGTGCTTCTCTTTACTTAGGGTAAAAAGCATGGCCAATAGAATCAGGCAGTGTATAAATGTAATGAGTTAATTAATTAAAATTTGTCTAGAACTGAAGAGAAAGTATTTTTTCAAGCTTGCACAAAACAACTTCTAATTTTATTATTGAAATCTGTGATGTAACACCTATGGCACTTTGGTGATATTAAAGACCCTCCCAGCAGTCATTGGCTGGCACTGTCAAAAATATTCTGGCTTCTGAGAAAATAATGTCTGCAGTAGAATTAGTGTTACAGATGGAAATGAGCACTTCACTACACTTTAGATGCTTCTGGATTGAAAGGATTAGTCAGCTATAAACTGCTGCCCAGGGGACACCTGAATATATTAAGAACATATATTCTTTAGAGAGGTTTCCTTTCACGTCTCCTTTCATGTCATTCGTACAGTACAGCTGCTCTTTTTGTCCTATCAGTGTACAATTGAGGACCTCATGGTGGTGTGGCAACACAATTAAAGTTGCTAGTTCCTGGGCAAGACTTGTTTAAGTTATACATATTTTAATCTTGTATTTTATATGTAAATTTTCATGTTATAGAGTATGCCTCATTTTAATTGTGATGCTTCTGACACAAATAAACAAAGTAGAATTAGTTCAAACATATCAGGTATTGCACTGAATATGAAAGGATAATTTGGCCTCAAAATTTTTTCATAGAAGTAGCCGCATGAACAGAAATTAGAAGAGATCCCAAGTTGCAGTATACTAAGACATGTAGAGCCTGAATATAGATATTTAAAAGAAGAGAATGCGAAGTGAATTCAGAAATGAGTAGGTATGACAAAAAATGGGGGGAAGAAGAAAGGGCCATTGAAGAAAGAGAGGAGACCTGCAGCTGAAGCTGAGAACCAAATGATCCTGGACAAAAGGTTATGTAGACCCCAGGGCAAAAAGTGCCACATGCTGTGGACGAGAAGGAAAAGAACAGGGAAAAATCCTTAAGGAGGCAAGATCCAATTCCTAAGAAATGCTGTACCACTTGATGGTCTTGCAGAAGAAGAAATCAAGCAGATTTTAACCACTTCTATTCCAGCCCAATGATTAGGGATCCATGGGTATGTATTTCCAAATAGGCTCACTGCCCCATTATGTACGATTTTATAAAAGAAATATTTGTATTAAATTTTACTTTAAATGTTAATTCAAACAGTATGAAGAATGTGGGGAAAAATAAACATGGTTATGAAATTAAAGAAAACTCACTTTTTATTCCAAAGCATGTCCAAGTGTGCATGGTATAACATTGCCACAAATACTTTAAGCGTATCTAAAAATTATTTTTGGTCCTAATTTTATTCCAAACTAATGGTGTTTTGCTTGTGGTATTTGTTTTTTCATATTTCAGACTAATTTATCTCAGGACAGCAAAACTGCACTAATGATGGACTATGCAGCAGCCATGGATGGCTCCTGTAAACAAGATGATACTTTTAGTTTTGAAGGGTGTCTTGCACAATCCCCTTCTGATGAAAAAGTATCACTTGCTGCCTCCCAAACGATATCTGCCCTTGAAGAACCCCAGGAACACAGCCATGGTGCCTGGACCTTAGATGACAGCCACCATCAATGGCACAACAATGCACTACTAGACCAAGACTGTGATAAGATATCAGGGAGCTCTGTAAGCATCTCAGAATCTGAAATTGTGAAGAAGTCCAAAGGTATGAATATTTTCTATTAAAGGGGTATCAATGTCATAGCCTTCTCCAGTCAGCTATGGCCTTTTATGACTTGTGGACTTCAATTCCCAGAATGCTGGCTCAGGAATTCTGGGAGTTGAAGTCCACAAGTCCTAAAGGGCACCATAGTTCCCCATCTCTGTTCTAGGCATCTTTGGAATTCCAAAACTTTTTAGAGTGCCAGAAGTGGGAAGCTGTTCTAATTAGTCTTGTATTTAAACCACGAAATATTATTAAGCCTTGGGCACACTTAGAAAATGTACAGCATATCGTGGGGTGCCCCACCCCCAATGGGGTTGGGAATAGGGATTAGAGGAAAGCTGGTGATATTTCTTGCCACTTCCTCTTGTACTTTACTTTTTCCTGGTAATAATTTGGAACAGCCTTCTTAACAGAGCAATCATGTTGCTATTTTGTTTTACTTTCAGATTGTGTCTTTGAAGAAAACACTTAAAAACTATAGAATTAAAAAGAAAAAATAACAAATGGAAATTATGTGTGTGTGTGTGTAACAAAACCTCTCTATGGTTTTTCAATATTCATGTGTTATTCTAGAACAGTTGGACAATTTATTTTCCCAAAGGGCCACATGAGAAACTGGGATTATTATGGAGGGCCGAACCAATAAGCTGAATTTAATTCTGTTCAATATTAATTTTATTGCTTTATAAAAAGCAGTAATTTGTATGATTTTATTACTATGAAAATATATAAGCACATGTGCATCTACGTACCTAAATTGAAAAAGCAGTCACCTTTAAAATAAGTATTGCATGCATGGTACATTTATTTACATTTGATTTCTAATTTCCAATTGACCTCAAATGGCCAGACAGGAATAGCCAAATGGCCAGATATGGCCTGGGGACCATAAAATATCCAGATTTGTTCTAGAATGAATTGTTCCCATGTAAATCCATTTATCTGTCTTTTAAATATACCATATTTTTTGGAGTATAAGACACACCTTTTTCTCTCAAAAAAGAGGCTGAAAATCTGGGTGCGTCTAATACATTGAATACAGCATTTTTTGCATCCCAAAATCCCACCCCCTTCACCAAAATGGCCATGCATAGCCTTTAGGAGGCTTTCAGAGTGCTCCTGGGGGCTGGGGAGGGCAAAAATGAGTGAAAAATGGCCCATTCTTTTGTTCAATTCCCCCCCCCCACAAGCCCCCAGGACCACTCTATAAGCCGCCTAAAGGCTATGCATGCCCTTTTTTTGACAAAAACAGGCTGTTTTTTTGCTCATTTTTGCCCCCACCCCCAGAGCACTCTACAAGCCTCCTAAAGGCTATTAATGCCCTTTTTTGGAAAAAAAATGGGCCCATTTTCACGAAAAACAGGCCATTTGTGGGAGGTCTGCAGAGTGCAAAACCTTTTTTTAAAATTTGCCTCTTCAAAATCTTGGTGCGTCTTATACTCCAGTGCATCTTATACTCTGGAAAATATGGTAAGTCTCTTTCTTCTGATCTATGTAACAGATCAGAGTTTTGTGATTGAATATGGTGATTGAGGTGAACAAGCATCTTTCTGCCCTTTGATTTAAAGCTACAGAAATTGTTATTGAATATAAAAGTCCCTCCCTCCCCCTCCCCCCATGTGTGTGTGTGTGTGTGTAAGGAGAGTAGTGTATGGTAATATTTGAGGATATGTAGTTCTTGTGGTCAGGTTTAGAAGTAATTACAATTTCCTACAATATGGGCAAGCAGTCTAGAAAATTCCCATGACATCAGTTGCAAGTGACAGTATGAAATTGCACAGCTATAGATGGGAAGATCTAAGCAAAAAATATAAGTATAAGCATTATCTTTATTGTCATTGTACTTAAATACAATGAAATTGGTGGATAAAAAGACTCTTTTGTGGGTTCTTGGGATTTTAATGTAAGAACACCAGGCATCATTTGTGGGTTTTTTATCTTTTGCACAGCATAGCAGCAGGAGCCTTTAGTTTTCCTCCTAGGCAATATTCCTTTTTTTCCTGTTCTCTCAGCTTCCTGGAACAGATAACATTAGCTCAGTAGTGGGTTACAGCTGGTAAGCCCTGGTATGGGCGTACCAATGCCTGCTGGGAGCACCAGGTACCGTTCCGGTACGGTGCTTTGGAGGGCCTGCTCATCCACCCACCCTCCTTACCTGTACTTGACCCAACCGGGCCATTTTTAAGAGGTAATTGTAATGGCCTTTTCTCTACAGATGTCTCTTTTCTCTGTCTTTTCACCTTTCTATGAAAGCTATCTATAATGCATAGATTTGTTTCCACATAATTCTTTTTTTTTTCTTCAGTGGCTGTATGATCATTGCAAGAGTCTTGGCCTAGGCTATCCTGGAAAAATCATTCTTTCATAACCTATGCAATTGAAATCCATTTCTGGACTTAGCTTCTGATTTCCACATATTCTTTTTGCTTCCTAGAAGTTTTGTTTGATGTCTCGTCCTTTCCAACTTAGTAGTATTCCCTCTTTCTGATGTGAAAGTAAAGACACCTTATGCTCAGTTTCTTTTTATCAACTAAAAAAAATAACTTTTAGTTTTGTACAGACTTCTCTTATTTTAGAATCTTGTACTCAAGACTACAGCCCCTCAAAGTTGTATATCTTTCCTTGGTCTTCTAAAGTGCTAAACAGAGGTTGAACAAATTGGCAATATAAAAGTTTGAATCTTTTTTTTGACCCATTTTCCTAAAAGTCCTTTTCCCTCAGCCAGGCTGGAAGTTAGAAGTAGGTCCATCTAAAATGAAAAGTTTACATAGAGGAAATGCTTAGATGAAAGTAAGCTTTCTGATTTGAAATCCAACCAATCACTTATATACTTCTCCCAAAGTTTGGGGAGAATTCTTGGCATACTTTGAAAAATAATAGTAACTCTATGTTGTTCAAAGTATGCAAATAAGAGGTTTTTTTGGGGGGGAAAGGAGGAAGAGTAATCAAAGCTATTATTGATTTTCCTTATAGTTTTAATTATGATTATTTTTTATTCATTTTGAAGAAACGTTTGCTCAATATTAAAAACAATATTTGCATATTTAATGTATGAAATATTTAATTTAAAATCCTTTATATTTGTTGAATATCTATCAGAATATTTGTACCATCACTCACAGGAACATTTGATATTTTGTTCCTTCTTCCAGTAGGTGAATGCAGTTTCCTTTTCTATTTATCCTTTGTACTCTCTATTTAGCCTTCCAAAAATAAATATATTTGAATACATTAGACCTAAAAAAAAAATCTGAAAATATTATTTCTAGAGGTAATTGCTACTAAAGTATTATTTGAGGTTTAATTTAAAATGAGTAATTATTAAAACAAACTTAATAAAAATGAGCCAGAATTGCATTTATTTTGTAATAGCAGCAAAAACCTGATGAGCAGGTTTGAAGTAAAACCTATTCATTCAGTTTAGCTAGTTTACTGCAAGAGAGAGGGAGGGGAGAGAGAGAGAGAGAAAGAGAGAGATGGTTTAACTGTTCTTGTTGAATTCTGAGCCAATTCAATGTGTTTTATTTTATCTGGACTTTGTCCATGTTTTTCTAGTCATTGATTCAGCAAGTCCATGTTATTTGTTTCCCAAAGATAACTGAGAAATCTTTACTATTTGAAAACTTATTTTCTCTCTGTCAAGGAAATTTCCTATGGAAAACCTTTTTCTTGTTCTGCTTCGTCTTCAATAGTCAGAGATGGCTAGCAGTTTTAGCCCAAAAATGACACTTTTAGGAAATCATCAATATATAATATGTATAATTGTGTTTTCAGATGTTTTCTTTCAGACTCCCAACTATCAGTCATTTAAGGAGCCATTTACTGCACTTCAATATCAAATATGCTTAGAGCTAGATAAACTTCTCTTGACATGTTTCAGTTTGCTGGTTCTGAGTGACATTCACAGGCATATGAAATATGATGGTGTATAACTAAAGGTCTTAAGGACCCCATTATTTTAGTTTTAGCTCCCGTTCCCTGAGGTTAATTACCTTTTCATTACAGCCTGTGGTTTAGGAAACCCTGAAGGTCTGCAAGGTTAATGTGGGTTGTTTCTGACACTTTGGTATCTAAAATATTTCTATTAGTAAAATGTATACTGTACATCAGTGTTTCTCAATCTTGGCAGTTTGAAGGTGTGTGAACTTCAACTCCTAGAATTTCCCAGCCAGTTATGCTAATTCTGGGAGTTGAAGTGAATTTATTATGAATTTGTCATTTTAAGCTCAAAATCTTTCCAGTTTCAGGTGGGAGCCTAACATTTTGAGATTTTGGACATTTCTGATTTTTTACAAAACACATTTAATTTGATGTCCTGCAGATATTGTTAAGAAAAGGTGTGTACCATGTCAACAGCTCCTGCCTTTTGAGGTGATGCTCAGAAGCATTAAGTAATTATCGGGGAGGGGATCACAATCCTTAGATTAAAGTCCACACCAATCTTGACCAGAATTTATGAAATTGATGGGATTCAGAATAGCTGTGAAGCATTCAATTGCCATACTTTAGGGAACTTCGGGATTTCAGATAAATTTGATTTGTGAAGCTAACTATATATTTTCTTTGTTGCAGGTGGAATATTAAAAAAGAGTGCAAAGTTATTTTTTCTTCGAAGACACCATAAAAAAGACCCAGGAATGAGCCAATCACATAATGATCTCTCCTACCTACAACAACCCAGATCTGATGGTACTCAAAAGAAAGGAGGAACCTTAACACGAATTCTAAACAAGAAAACTATTTTTAAGAGCAAAACCAAATTGAATGGCTCATCAGTTGGACCACATGCATAAATTCTAGAACCTGCCAAATTGTATCAGCTGCACATGACTAATTGTTTACAGAAAAATGAACTACCATATCCTTTTTGAGCTTTACTAGCAAGGTAGTTTGCAGAAGATAGCAAAGCATAGATAGGGAATGATTGGATTTAGAACTATGGTTACTAAACTGTAGAGAATAACTCATATTTATTTGGAAATTAGCTAATTTAATTCAGTAGGCCTTAGTCTAAAATATACTGTAATTTCTAGAAATTAGGTTTAAAATGCATTTTTGCTTGAAATTCAAGTATAGCTGAGAGTTACAATGAAAAACTATTGCATTAATACATATCTGTGGTGGTTGCACTTTTAAAGAGCCACAATGCAAATTTTAAATGGGCTGTTGTGCCTGCGGGAAAATGGGAAAAACACAAGAAATTGTGATAAAGGTTGAATGATTTAAGAAAATTGTAGGAGAGATCCAAAAATCAGATGGAGTCTGGATTCACCATTGCAAACTAACACATATTGTTAATATGCATAAGCTTTCATGAACTTGATGAAGGCTGATGAAATAAGAAGCAGCTCATGAAAGTGTATACCTTTTAATGAATTCTGAAAATATGCTATCATATTCCTTCAGATTTATAAACTGGGAAACATTTTACTGTGCAAATGTATTCCCAGATAAAAATGCATAAAATTTCAGCCTTAACATGTTTCTGGAGGAAACATAAAATATTGAATTGGGAAACATGATACAGTAGTTGTTAAACACATATAAATGGTATTGCTTTTGATAAGATGCTAGTAATGCAAACTGGCAATTTATATAATTACTTAATAGGAATATAATTTTTTTTGTTCTGTAGATATCCTTTTAGTCTAAGATAAGGAACCACAGACTATTGAAGCTTACTTTTCTTACTTCCACAATACTTGGAAACAACATTGCCAATATTGCAATGTGCCTTGGAAATCCTAAAATAGAATATATTAATAATTTAATGGCAGCATACTGATAGGTGACATTAGAGCATGCTCACTCTTTTTAAGTTTCAACTATTATGTTTCTGTTTTGACACAGCTTGCTTATTTGAAAAGATAAGGGAAGTGTTCCCCATTTCTTTATATTGGATATTATAACTTGTTCATCTAAAAAGAAAACATTCCTTAGTGATTTTGCCTATCTTACCAAACATTATGTATTCTGACTCAGTAGGGATTTGCTGTGGAATATATGGCTTGATTGTAGATCCTAGAATCAAGTTCTATTACATTTGTTCAGGGTAAATCTGGTGCCAGTTCCATCACTGTGATTTAAATCAATAAATGAAAATAATTCGTTGAAATAAAGCTGTTCCTCCTGTGGATCAATGATTTGCATAAACTGCAATAATGATGTTAAAAATACAGCCTAATGAACTCCAACATACAAAACATTATTGAAATGAAGTAGCAATTTCTGGAAAGTTGTGGAAATTCTCATTTTTGTAATGACAGGATATTATAGACTGACTGCTATGGGGTTATCTGCTACGTCCTGAGGTCTCGAGAAAAACTTGTCAATCAATGGGGGGAAAAGGAAGCCGTTGACTCTGGCGCGAGTGCAGGCTTGAGGAAGCTGGGCGAGCTTCCTATTGGTTAACAGTTTGACAACTCGCATATAAAAGGCTGTCAGTTAAGTTCGTTACTTTGTTTGTTGTCAGCTACATTAATAAAAGGTTAGTGTTACATTGTCTCCAGCAGTTTCTTGAGGAGACATTCTTGCTAGACGTTTCGCATTTCGCCCGTGTGTTCAAAAAGAAAATGAGACTGTCAGCCAATTCATTGTAGCTTTCAGACAAGCCGCGATTTATTGCGAGTTTCCAGATCTCAACGAGGCATTACTGGAGCAACTAATTTATGGCAGCAGGGATTTAAGGCTTCAGCGCCGCCTGCTAGCTAAAACAAGAGCTAACTTTAGCCATTGCTTTAGACGAAGCTTGAATGGCTGAACAGGCAGCCCAGTCCGCTGCTGTAATTCAAAAATGTCAAGCCTCCCACATGCCATCCTCAGTAATAGCCATAGTTAACCAGCAGTCTACTGAGGAGGCAGAGGAAAAACAAACAATGGATGAAGTAGCACGTATCAAGTTGACAGCGGATGGCAGATGGAAGCCAGCAACGAATGCTTCTCAGGCAAACTGCCTGAGTTGCGGAGGGGACCATCTGCGGTCCAATTGCTGGTTTAAGTCAGCCGTCTGCCGGCATTGTCTGCCGTGCCATCCTGCCTGCCACAGATGTTGGTCGTACTGTGAATAGAGTGGCACAAAGACAATCAGGCTGTGCCAGGGAGGCCTGCAACGCCATCGACCAGGACAGCGAAGAAGAAGGAACTGTCAACACAGCCTCTGAAGAAAAACCCAGCTGTCAGAAGATGTTTGCTACTGTTTTAATTGAAGGATCTCCTTGTAAAATGGAGATTGACATGGGGTCGGCGAGATCCATTATTTCCTGGGGCAGCCTTAAAAGAATCCTGCCCACAATTTCTAGAGCAGAGTTAGTCCCAACTAGCTGCATTTTAAAAGATTACCAAAAAAGAGCTATTCCAATTGTGGGTTGTGGTCAATTTCAAGTTGAGCATGGCAATTTTAAGGGCACACTACCATTAGTAGTTGTTGAGGGTCCGCTTGCTTCATTATTGGGATTAGATTGGTTTGAGGGTTCTCTATTTCAGGAATTCACACTACAGAAATTGCTGCCGGGTTTGAAGACCTGACATGGGCATTTGAGGACGTTTTTAGCAATGAATTGGGTAAATATAATGGAACNCATCACTCAGTCCAAGGGCAGATAGGCTGTGTTAACCCAGCATTTGGGCTCTCTTCGCAGTGCCCCGAGAACGACCGTTCAGGTAAGCCAAAGGTCTTTCCCTTAATCTACTATATAGAATAACAAGCGGCACACATCTCACTTTGTTCATCATATATATGTCCAGGTTTCATATATTTTAACCCATGCTTAATTGTCCTTCTATTGTCATATTCAGTCAATTAGCAACTCAGTTTAATTATCATGTATAAAAGTGAATCACAAACCTCTACTTTACAATCTCCACAGGAGGGTCTGTTCCAAAAACGGATCTCGGAGACAGTTTGTCAGACAGGGTTCATGTAAGACTCTTTAGAGCTTACATCCCCCACGTCTGCCCAGCTGGAGAATTTCAGATTGACTCAGAAATTGACAGCATTGAGAGAGAAATGAAGTTTTCGTGGTGATCCTGGCATTTAAGAAGAGTTGTAGATTTTATTCCAATTAGGCTCCCATAAGTGCTGTACAACTTTCAGATTGTACCTAATTATTAGGACCAAGGAACACTTGAAAGCTGCATATTTTATACTTGCCTAAATAGGTTTCCAGCCTTCAGGAAAAAAAGAAAAGAGAAAGTGTGTATATTTAATTTTTAGATGAAGAGCAGCCTAAAAAGGGAACAACTCCTGGTAGTTGTTCACAAGCTCTTCTATTTTGTTCTATGTTCATCATACTGCATTTAAAAATGAGTACTGTAAGCTATTTTGGAAAGCATTGTGAGTTACTCTAATTGAAATGGGTTTTGTTTTCAATTTTAACTTGGCAAACAAATAGCAATGGAATTTAAATTTGAAACATGGTACGAACAAACAATATAATCAAATAAATGTTTAGCTTGTATGATAACCATAATATATACATTTTTATATATTTTATTATATATGTAGCAGAAAAAACTCCACTCTTAGTAGCCAATATGCATAGAAGTGTGCAGATTCCCCCCTTTTTTTCTTCTTCTTAAAAATTGCTTGCTCTACTTACCTGTGAAAGTTCAAACAAAGGTTTGATTGCAGTGGCAAATCCAACTGCTAAATAGGAATTTGGTTCTGAAATCTGTCTATACAGTACTAAAACAAAAGTCTTCATGACTTTTAGCTGGACAAAATAGTGCATCATAAGGCAACAATTTTTGGATCAAGGTCCCTCTAATAGGTAACTTGTAGAATGCATCCAAAATCTAAAACCCATGACGCCCAAGGGAATGAAATTTGGGGAAATCATGGCTGCTTCAGGGCTACTGGCTGCTGCTGTGGTCATGTGATTATTTTCAGTATTCTGTGACTATTTCTCAGTCAGTCTCACAATTTCTTCCTCCCTCACCCAGCCGTAGTCACTCACCTATCTCTAGGAAAGAGAAAGAAGGGAAGGAAGGAATGGAGGGAGGAACAGGAGGAAGGAACCTCACATACTCTTACTGGCCCATGTACAACTTCCCCAATCAATCCTCTACATGCTTTTCTCAACCCATACTGTTAGATCGGCGACAGGAAAGATGAAGAGGCGTCTGAGGTAACCTTCAAACAGTTTATTACAGGCAAGAACAGAAAGAACAGAAACTGTGAGTAGACCGGCACCTCTCCTCCGTCTGACAGTCTTTTCGTCTGACATCTGTCTGACAGCTCAGTATAAAAGGCTGTCAGACGGACGAGCCAATAGCCTTGCGTATGACAGCCCGGCAACTTGCAAGCGCGTCTGATTGGCTAAGATGCGCCTGGCTGCTGCCGAGCTGTCATTCGTAAGTCCGAGGACTTATGAGGCTACAACAGGGAAATCTTGGATACTTGGGTTGAGAGAAAGATCTCAGCTTTCCCTCCAAATCAGGGGTGTCAAACTGCCAGCCCATGGGCCAGATGTGTCACATGCAGGCCATGCCCACCCGGGAAGGGAAAAAATGTCGTGAAATGTCATGTGATGGCAATAAGATGCCAAAAGTTTGACACTTGTGCTCTAAACAATAAAAGTCATTAGGCCAAAACTATATGTGAACCCTCACTTTTCCTCAGCCAATCATAAGGTGACTAGATGTCCCGATTTCAGCGTGACAATCACGCTTTATAACAATTTATCCCGTTTCCCGCCACGTTTTATAAAAGTCCCGATTTTCTGGCTTCATGTTGAAAGCCCAGTGGATTTGCTTAAGAAATCCTAACGGGCAA